AAGCTTTCGTGGGTAAGAACCTCACTTCTTCAGATGTCTTTACCAAGCATCTTTTGTTCATATTCAATTATTCTCATGCTCAAATATCTATGAAACAATACTTACTCTACATTACAAACAGCCTCTAGGGAAGTGTCTATTATAAAATATTTACTGAACAAGCCTTACACTTAAAAACCATTTAATTTATGAATTGTGAGTTAACATAATTTACTGTCTGAAAGCAACTAGTTACTGGATCTTTGCCAGGAACATTCAGTTTTACACTTGTCTTTCTAAACATGAATAAAGGATTCCACCATATTGGGTTTGCACATAATCGTGGCTAGACAAATGCCAGGGGCAAGAAATAATTGGTGTTGGCAAACCTCCCTTGTGTAGGGAAAAGGCATGAGATAAACATATACCCTATGATACCTGCCCTGATAAAGGCATTCTTTTTTTTTTTTAAGCCTTTTTTTTAATTCTTTGCTCCCTCTGTGACCATCTGTGATTTCTGCATCACCTTCCCAGCAGTGGTCTGGAGGTACAACATTGTCAACAAACAGCTGTGTCAAGAAATACTATGGGTTGTGTAGTCAAGTTCAGCAAAGCACTTAAGCATGTGCTTGAAGCCAACAGGCCTTACACACAACCTTATGTGCTTTCCTAAATAGGGATGGACTTAAGCATATGCCACGGGCTTTGCTCAATCAGAACTTATTCCAGGACACTTTTGTTATGTACTTTATTCCATCTTTGGTTTGATAAACATCTCAGTCTATTCACTCCAAAATGGTACCTTATTGCTAGACTTTACAAGCTACACAGTGGATTCCATTTTATAAACTAAACCATTTTCATGTACTTGGGCAGACAGATTCTCCTCCTAAAGCTGGAAGGTTTTTCTTTGAAGGAAAAACCTAGCTCAGCAAAATAGCTTTAAAAATTATTATTAAAGGGAAATATATTATGGTTGGGCTTCTCACGGACAGATCCGGGCGTTTCAAAAGTATTATTATTTATACAGCATGAGAAGTGGGTTGGTGTTCAGCGTGTAGGGTCGTTTTTATTACGTCAAAAGGAATTTCATATTAATTAATGATATAGAATTGAGTGCATTGCTTGTAGTATCAAAAGATTTCAGTGCTGCCCTGGGAATAGTCAGTCAAATTCTGCACTCAGTTACACCCAGGCAAACCCACCAAAGTCCAGGAGGACTGGATGGGTGCAGACGAGAACAGAATTTGGCCCAGTGTTTGAGTGGTCAAATCAGTACAGCTATTGTATTCTTTCACCTAGAAACAGTGTTTGCTGTGCATTGTAATTTTGACTTTCAGATTCAGACATGCAGCCTGCAGGCATTTACTGCAGCCTAATTGTGTTTCAATTTTTCTCAGCCGCATTCAATTAGTTGAAACCTAGGATGACTAAGGTCATGGGGGAAAAGCATCAGTGTAGCAGGGAAGAATACAGAACTGTGTGAGTGAGTGAAAAAAACAGTTCATAAGGCTTCTGACTTCCCAAACAATGAGACTGGCATAAGAATAACATATATTTGGCGTGGTCAGTCTGTCAGATATTTGATCATAAAGAAAGCAGCACTCCTTCTCCACATATATCCTGACTTTCTTCCCACACACAATCCCACCATGCTGGAACTATTCCAGCCCCCCCACATCCCCAGCAGCTCCACCACCTCCCCCAGCAGCATGGGAAGTCTACTCCACCCTGGAATTCTTAGCCCTGTGGTTTTTATCCCACTGCAGCATTAAGCCAGGAGAGAGGGTGGTAAATGTAATTTCTTAACCCTATTGGGCCTACTCCCAAACTATCTTCATGTCTTGCCAGGGAGCTCCCCTGTTTTTGTAGGCACACAGAGTAGGCAGTGAAATAAGATGGAATTGTAGGGTAGCAGTAAAGATGGGAGAAAAAAGAAGCATCTGCAATGGGATCAACAAGCAGAACAGTGACACCTGGTGGCTGGAGCTGAGCACTGGAGCACAGAAAACAAGCAGTCACCTCCGGAAAGGCATTTCTAAAGTGTAAAAATTACTTAAAACTTTGTGGATGCAGCAACACTGGAGATAACAGATAATGTGAAAACAACATGAGCGTATCCAAAAGATCCACTCACTCATTCAAAAAACTAAGGCACACTGGCCAAGAAGGGATTTGCAGAAACTGATGACTGGACAGCATCAATGAGAAAGACTCTCAGAGTCCTCTGAGAAAGGGCCTTTGAAACGTTGAAGTATCTGTTCCTCTTTGTTTGGCAAACAACTCATTGTAAACTTACCTTAAACACACACATTCACCTGTAGTCTGCAGAGATTATAGTGGAATCTTTGTATCTGAATGTCACATGACACATAGTAAAAATGTTAGCTCTCCTGAATTTGTGCCAGCCAGCTCCAGTCAGCTGCGACAGCCCAGAATCCATCACAAAACCACACGGGCTGATCCTTGCTGGTGTATGGAGCTTGCCCACAGGGTAATGACTCGTCTTTAACAGTAGCACAGTTTCGAAGAGAGTTAGTGAATATTTGAAGCACTTTACAATTTATTATTTACTGTATCTACCAGCCAAAAGCATGTAAGGCACTTTACAGACATAAAATAAGACGGGTCTCAGTGCCAAAGATCTTATTGTCATCTAACCAAACATCAGAAAGGGGGAACAAGCAATACAGTTATTGACACTATTTCCATTCCTTTTGTCTCTGATGATCCTACTTGAGAAAAAAATCTAACACCTTCAACTTCCTCTTGTTACCAAATGCTTGCTTATATATTTTTCATTTTATTTTCAGCTCCTTCTCATTCAAACCCATGTTTCCCCCCCCCCCCCTCATCCATTAATTCACTCCCTTTCCTACCCTCACCCATCAGCAGCTACCGACTGCTGCCTACTAGTTAATTCTAGATCTTACTCTTTCATAGTTCAGGCAGACCCTTCTCTAGTTACTTCCGGACCTCCTTTCCCGAATAGAGGGGAATGATCACGTCCCTTGATCTGCTGGCAATGCTCCTACTTATACAGCCCAAAATGCTGTTAGCCTTCTTGGCAACAAGGGCACACTGTTGACTCATATGCAGCTTCTTGTCCAATGTAACCTCTAGGTCCCTTTCTGCAGAACTGTTGCCTAGGCATTCGGTCCCTAGTTTATAGCAGTACATGGGATTCTTCCATCCTAAGTGCAGGACTCTGCACTTGTCCTTGTTGAACCTCATCAGATTGCTTTTGGCCCAATCTTCTAATTTGTCTAGGTCCATCTGTATCCTATCCCTACCCTCCAGCGTATATACCACTTCTCCCAGTTTAATGTCATCTGCAAACTTGCTGAGGGTGCAATCCACACCATCCTCCATTAATAAAGATATTGAACAAAACCGGCCCCAGGACTGGCCCTTGGGGCCACTTGATACCGGCTGCCAGCTAGACATGGAGCCATTGATCACTACCCGTTGAGCCCGACGATCTAGCCAGCTTTCTATCCACTTTATAGTCCATTCATCCAGCCCATACCTCTTTAACTTGCTGGCAAGAATACTTTGGGAGACCGTATCAAAAGCTTTGCTAAAGTAAAAGAATAACACATCCACTGCTTTCCCCTCATCCACAGAGCCAGTTCTCTCATCATAGAAGGCAATTAGGTTAGTCAGGCATGACTTGCCCTTGGTGAATCCATGCTGACTGTTCCTGATCACTTTCCTCTCCTTGAAGTGCTTCAAAATGGATTCCTTGAGGACCTGCTCCATGATTTTTCCAGGGACTGAGGTGAGGCTGATTGGCCTGTAGTTCTCTGGATCCTCCTCCTTCCATTTTTTAAAGATGGGCACTATGTTAGCCTTTTTCCAGTCATCTGGGACCTCCCCCCGATTGCCATGATTTTTCAAAATAATGGCCAATGGCTCTGCAATCACATCCGCCAATTCCTTTAGCACCCTTGGATGCAGCGCATCCGGCCCCATGAACTTGTGTTCGTCCAGCTTTTCTAAATAGTCCTGAACCACTTCTTTCTCCACAGAAGGTTGGTCACCTCCTCTCCATACTGTGCTGCCCAGTGCAGTAGTCTGGGAGCTGACCTTGTTTGTGAAGACAGAGGCAAAAAAATCATTGAGTACATTAGCTTTTTCCACATCCTCTGTCACTAGGTTGCCTCCCTCATTCAGTAAGGGGCCCACACTTTCCTTGACTTTCTTCTGCCCCTGGAAAGAGTCCAGCAGAGGGCAACACAAATGATTAGGAGGCTGGAGCACGTGACTTATGAGTTCTGCCCCTAGTTGGTTCCTCCAGCACTTGCACTAATAAATTATCCCCTACACTTTCCAAAAACTTCCTGGATTGTCTGTGCACTGCTGTATTGCTCTCCCAGCAGATATCTGGGTGATTCAAGTCCCCCATGAGAACCAGGGCCTGTGATCTAGTAACTTCTGTTAGTTGCCTGAAAAAAGCCTCGTCCACTTCATCCCCCTGGTCTGGTTGTCTATAGCAGATTACACCACGACATCACCCTTGTTGCCACAGTTCTAAACTTAATCCAGAGACTCTCAGGTTTTTCTACAGTTTCATACTGGAGCTCTGAGCAGACATACTGCTGTCTTACATACAATGCAACTCCCCCACCTTTTCTGCTCTGCCTGTCATTCCTGAACAGTTTATATCCATCCATGACAGTACTCCAGTCATGTGAGTTATCCCACCAAGTCTCTTTTATTCCAATCACATCATAATTCTTTGACTGTGCCAGGACTTCCAGTTCTCCCTGCTTGTTTCCCAGGCTTCTTGCATTTGAGTATTGGCACTGAAGATAACTCGCTGATCATCCTCCTTTCTCAGTATGAGGCAGGAGTCCTCCTCTCTTGCGCTCTCCTGCTCGTGCTTCCTCACGGTATCCCACTTCCCCACTTACCTCAGGGCTTTGGTCTCCTTCCCCCGGTAAACCTAGTTTAAAGCCCTCCTCACTAAGTTAGCCAGCCTGCTTGCGAAGATGCTCTTCCCTCTCTTCGTTAGGTGGAGCCCGACTCTGCCTAGCAATCCTTCTTGGAACACCATCCCATAGTCAAAGAATCCAAAGCCTTCTTTCTGACACCACCTGTGTAGCCATTCGTTGACTTCCACAATTCAACGGTCTCTACCCAGGCCTTTTACTTCAACAGGGAGCGTGGATGAGAACACCACTTGTGCCTCAAACTCCTTTACCCTTCTTCCTAGAACCACGTAGTCTGCAGTGATCCACTCAAGGTCATTCTTAGCAGTATCATTAGTGCCCACGTGGAGAAGCAGGAAGGGATAGCAATCCGAGCATTGGTGAGGCCTTATCTGGAGTACTGTGTCCAGTTTTGGGCCCCACACTACAAGAAGGATGTGGAAAAATTGGAAAGAGTCCAGCAGAGGGCAACAAAAATGATTAGGAGGCTGGAGCACATGACTTATGAGGAGAGGCTGAGGGAACTGGGATTGTTTAGTCTGCAGAAGAGAAGAATGAGGGGGGATTTGATAGCTGCTTTCAACTACCTGAAAGGGGGTTCCAAAGAGGATGGATCTGTTCTCAGTGGTAGCAGATGACAGAAGAAGGAGTAATGGTCTTAAGTTGCAGTGGGGGAGGTTTAGGTTGGATATTAGGAAAAACTTTTTCACTAGGAGTGTGGTGAAGCACTGGAATGGGTTACCTAGGGAGGTGGTGGAATCTCCTTCCTTAGAGGTTTTTAAGGTCAGGCTTGACAAAGCCCTGGCTGGGATGATTTAGTTGGGGATTAGGTCCTACTTTGAGCAGGGGGTTGGACTAGATGATCTCCTGAGGTCTCTTTGAACCCCATGATTCTATGATTCCCCGTACCGTCACTAGGGCCTCCAAACCATTTACAGGATTTCTCATCCTGAAAAGCCCATTTTTGTAAGTTCAATTTTCAATTTTTCTTTAAAGCTACAATTCAGATCCTAATCACCAGTGTGCTGAGGTAGTGGAAGGCTGTCCAAAGAGAACAGGATCGCCTGTACCATGTGGGTGACATAAGAACTGGGAACATTTACCTCTGAACACTATACTCCTGAAAAAGGTCCAGCTGCCAATGTGTCAGTTCACCACTCCTGTTTACAGTGCTGAATCCCTGCTCTGTAATGTATCTCTATCACAGATGTTCTGCAGGTAAGCACTGAAAAGCCAATATGAGATTATATTAAGAGAGAGGGGTCTGGCTTGGATAGATGGGAAGATTCCTTTTGTATGGCTTTGTCAATTTTTTTTTCCCCTTTTTCCTGAACTCGTTCACCTGTCTGTTTTGCACAACAACCTACACATTATGCTCTGGGGTCCAAACATCACAAAGATAAAATAATGTTAGGACGATGACCATCCGTGCTGCACCAATGTTGTTCCATGCAATTCACCAGCCCTGAGTGATTTTAAGAAAGTGTTACTGGTAATGCAAACAAAACAAAAACTTACAGAAAGTCTGTTGGAAATGGGATAACGTCGGAGCCTCTGGAGCAACATTGTAGAAATGGGTCTTCAGCGCACCACTCACAAGCAGGTTGTATGCAAGGTCAGTTATGTTAATGCCAACAATAGCAAAAGAGTAGCTGGAAGAAAAGCAAGGAGTAGGATTTATAGGAAATGCTGTTGAAACTAAAAGGCTGGGAGATATAAATGTACCACAGATTTTGTTTTTAAGAATAATGCTTGACTTTGGGTAATTTTCCTCTTATCTGACAAGGTTCTTAGAACAAAGTAAGTAAGAACAAGAGAAAATATTTATCCTCTTTATTCTGTACATTTTAATAGCAGTGTTACACCCATGATATCTGCCTGTACCACACTGAAAATAATAGTTTCATCATTTTGCTAATCATTTCCACAGAAGCACCATGGAAATATTTCTGTGAAAGAGGAATAAGATCTACTTGTTAAAGTCTCAGTGTTCTTGAACTCACTGTAGAAAGGGAGTGTTACACATGACACAGTTTTCATTATAAGAAGTAATTTATTATTACTGCCCTGCTACACTTTAAACTACCACCTATATTGTACATACATAGTTACAGTTAAGAATGTCAGATTTGGACCAGCATGAGATTAACAAAACTCTTCCTAGGAGGGTATTACACAGTGTCTTTAAACATATAAAAAGATCCAGTTGAAAAATATGCATAGGCTCCCTGCTCGTCCCAGCAGACACTGGAAATGATAAAAATGGATAAAATATTATTTGAATGCCCATAGGTTTACTTTGCTGTTGGGAAAAGTCCAGACAACATGTAAATAAATCTCTAGTATAATGATTCAGTTACCTCACTGTAGATCAAAGACCTGTTTGAAATGGAAATGAATTATCTGCATAATGAGGCAACATCCTACACAGTCAAGAAAGTGAATGATCAGGGAAGATGAATTTTAATAAGCAGTCAATATGGTCCTTGTGTTAAGAAAAAGGACATTATCCCTTGATTTGTGTTTCTCATTAAACAAAGGAAGTAATACAGTAATGCCAAAATCATGGCTTAGAAATCCCACATCACTTATCCCAGGCCACTCATCCTGTTATTACAGTTGCTGGCAAGTGGCCTGTTCATAAATCACAACTTGTCTATGTCACAGTCCAAAGTGAGACCCCACCTCGTGAGGTTTATTCAACCTTTGATATGTGCAGTTATACACAGTCACAAGTAAAGGCTTATCATTTTAAGAAGTCCTTCCGGTTACTAAGAAGCAATTAGAAAAGTAGTACATTAGCTATAATCAACGTATGGCTAAGATAAGCATAAAATAGTAAATGGTGTTGTTAATACTGAAATTTCATTATAAAAAAACTTTTTAAATTCCATTTTTAAAGAGAACAGATTTTTACATGCACAACATCAATCAGCATAATTGTGCTTATGTCAACTTATTTTTAAAGATCTTGTACTTACCCAATTGCCTTATCAAACTTTTTCTTCTCCCATTCAGCTTTGCTGAATTGGCTGAAAAAAAAATGAATTCAGATGTTACCATACACTGCTTTCCAATTTGTTTTATACTGTAATGTTATCTAGCACAGGCTGGGTATTTTAAGTGCAGTTGAGCTGTCTAGAAGTATTTTACTTTGCTTCTATGATTTTGCCGTAGTTTGATCAAACTGGTATAATAGGTTTGAAGTGAGATTAGCTTCCTTGACTTATAGCATCATCCATGTATTGTTCTCATCAGTGCAATCTGAAAGGAGGCTGTGGCTATGCTATTCTCCCAGTCAAAATCAATTTATTCTGTATCCTCTTCAAAAAGATGGTCCACCTCAGTTAAACTGGAACAAGTGTTGAAAACTCTACATTTCTTTTAACTTTGATCAAGGATGACTTTAGCCTTTGGTGTTCTCCAAGATATACATGACATGAACCACTTGAAACAAACATGAAAAATAGTACTTCTCCAATAGCGAATGGATAGGGGAAATGTTATCTTAAAAAATATGCTTTTTATTAATCTAAGTAAATTAAAAAGCAGCCATATTTAATGCCTAATTACAAGGAAGTCTAGAGCAGTTTTTAGATGCTTACACATCACTCAACAGACAACTAACAAAGGAACTTCTTTATCTTTCAGGATGTAAGATAATACAAACTAGGGTTTGACAATGGAAAGATTTCTAGAAAAGGTAATTTGATACAGTTTACAAGTGTCAATTAACTAAGGTTTCACTGGCATAGCTGAACTGTATATGCCAAATCCCAATGACATTAATGGGAGTTTTGCCAGAATAAGTACTAAGGAGAATTTTCAGAGTTTGGACCCACTATAGGGAAATATACTTGAGTGCAAACAATACAGTCACATGCCATGTTTAGATTGCACCTGAATTGTGAGAAATCAGACTATATTATACAGTACATACTTCCGTGTACATATCATTTAGAATAATTTTTGCACGATTAGAAAGATCCACATTTAGTCCTCCAAAAGATATTAAAGATATTAGCAGAACAAGGATTCGTGCACACATTCATCAGAATCTGATCTGCTTATCTTCCCAATCGCCAAAACTTTGTTTTCATCTCATGCAATTTGGTGAAAGGCTGAAGGGGGTTTATTACTGGTCCAGTGAAGGAAACACCACGTTTAAAAGTGTCCACATTTAGTGTCATATCATCATAGTGGAAGGTGGAACAGGCTTAGTGGTGTCTTCAAATGAAGATAACGAATTGCTAAATGAGAAGATAGACCAGTAATACAATTCAATAGAAACAGAAGCAACATTCATCATCACATGAACACCAGCACAACCACTAAACAAACACATCAGCAAACACAAAGAGCATCACTAGAAGCATTTTACCCTCTTGTGGATGCTCTTTCAAGGATGGAGCACGCATGCTCATATACAGCATTCCAAAAAGTTTCTAAGTAACGTAACATGTAAATGAAGAATACTAATGGAATTCATATTCCCCGTCTCACAAATGGGCCATTGGAATATACATAGTGCTTGCGTAGCTACATTGGTGCAAAATTCCCCTAGCATAGAAAGGTTCATAATCCAAATTCAATTTGCCATGTAAACTAATGAAAATTTTAATTAAGATCTTTATTTTTTTTTTACACTGAAGGACAAAACCATTTAAAAATGAACATAACACACCCTGTTTATTAGCAAAGACAAATTTCCTTTCATGAAGATGGTAATGGTAAAAAAACAAAAACAAAAAAAAAAAAGCAAAAAAAAAAACCTGTCCCCCATCCATAGAGTGAGCAATATAAAGATTGGGTAAGATCAACTGGAAATGAAGCAAACTCTGCTAAAAATAAAACAAACTAAACTTAATAAAGAGATTAAAAAGAAGCTGTGTATAATAATAACTGAAAGATACAAAGCTAAGGTCTGTAGGAAACGGCTCTTTTCAGATTTTGCTAAGATATAAATGTCTTTGGCAACAATATAGTGTGGTCATTTTGAATCAATTTTATCTAACATTAAATATTACTACCGGCTTCCATGCAATAGAAACATTTCCAAGAGAAAGCTCACATTAGGTGTAAAATATTATTTGCCTTGGGTATAATAATTGGTTCTATGTTTACAATATTGCAAATTAGGAAGTAGTTTTTTTTAAAAAATAGAAATTAACAAACAAAACAAAGCTTTCACAAACTAAGGTGGGTCAGGCCAGGATAGTGTTTAGATGGAAGACTTCTAAGGAAAGTGCTGCAGGAAGTGGTTTTGGCAATTCAATAGCAACACACAATGAATCAATACCAAACCCACGTGCGGAGAGAAAAGCCATGGTTCAGATGAAATATAAAATTAATATCCTAACCAAATTCTCATTGAAGGAGTTACACTTTGGCTACCTAAATACCTCCTCTGCTTCCTTTCACTTCCAGCCCTACACAGCTGTGCTGTGGGACAGACACTGCATTCCATCTAAAGGTGCGCGGATTATTGTCAGTGCCTTACAACACGAACAGCTGGTTTCATCTAGGATTGCTTACTGCAATTTTTCTGAGAACTGAAAATTATTTGGACTACGGCACTCAAAAAGGCATGTTTGTGATAAAATTCACACTTGTTTATTATGAAGAGCACTAAGAAGAAGTGGGGCTACCAAAAGTAGAGTCTGGAAAAGAGCTTTCCTACTGGTTTGATTTAATGGCTGGCTGAGATCATTTGTTACCACTTCTGACTGGTTAATGCAGCTGACAGGCTGAGATTATTTATTATCTATTTATGATTTTATTTAACACTTTTTAGTGGTTATGGCTTATGGTGATTATGGCTGACATGATTAGGTCCTATGATGGTGTCCCTTGAATAGGTATGCGGACAGAGTTGGCACCAGGGTTTGTTGCAGGGTTTGATTCCTGGGTTGGTGTTTTTGTTGTGTGGCGTGTAGTTGCTGGTGAGTATTTGCTTCAAGTTGGGGAGCTGTCTGTAAGCGACCCTGCAACAAACCCCGGTGCCAACTCTGTCCACATATCTATTCAAGGGACACCATCATAGGACCTAATCACATCAGCCACACCATCAGGGGCTCGTTCACCTGCACATCTACCAATGCCATCATTTGCCAGCAATGCCCCTCTGCCATGTACATTGGCCAAATCGGACAGTCTCTACGCAAAAGAATAAATGGACACAAATCAGACATCAGGAATCATAACAGTCAAAAACCAGTAGGAGAACACTTCAATCTCTCTCGTCACTCAATAACAGAACTAAAAGTGGCAATTCTTCAACAAAAAAACTTCAAAAACAGACTCCAACGTGAAACTGCAGAACTGGAATTAATTTGCAAACTGGACGCCATCAGATTAGGCCTGAATAAAGACTGGGAATGGTTGGGTCATTACAAAATCTAAACCTATTTTCCCCAATCCTAATTTCCCCCTACTGTTACTCACACCTTCTGATCAACTGTCTGAAATGGACCACTCATTACCACTTCAAAAGTTATCTTTCCTGCCTTGGTATCCTGCTGTTAAGTGACTTGTCTCGTTAGACTGACCTCACACTTGGTAAGGCAATTCCCATCCTTTCATGTACTTATACCTGCTCCTGTATTTTCCACTTCATGCATCTGGTGAAGTGGGTTCTAGCTCATGAAAGCTTATGCTCAAATAAATTTGTTAGTCTCTAAGGTGCCACAAGGACTCCTCATTATTTTTGCTGATACAGACTAACACGGCTACCACTCTGAAACCTATAACTTCTGTATGGACTCACCCCTCCCCATTGCTTAAATAAAAATAAATAAGATATAAAAAGACCACTGGCCTAGGAGTCAGGTAGTCTCAAATCCTATTCCTATTCCCACTGCTGATTCTGCATGTGGAACTCATTGTCACAAGGTATTACAGAGGCCAAGAGCTTAGCAGGACTAAAAAATGGATTCTTTATGTGGATAATGAGAACACAAGGGATAAACATTTTTGTTCTTTTGGGCAACTAACTGCCTGAGCGTTTGGGGAGGAGGGGCAGAAAACTTTCCCTACAGATAGGCTTTTCCATTATTACCCATTAGATTAGCTTCTTGCACCTTCTTCTAATGTATCTGACACTGACCACTGGTATGGCAGTACTAATGTAGCCAGGTGATCACAATTAAGGAATAGCAGACAGTTGACATGAACAACTTGTAAGATTAAAACTGTTAGCCCAAACTATTTGGCAAATACTTCTGACTAGTAAGTCAGGGTCACAGAAGTCTGGAACCGTTTGCATGACCTGAGAATTTTAATTAAAGAGCTAAATTTGTCACACATTTCATTTGCAACAAATAATTTGACCAGTTGTAGCTACAATACGCAGAATCTGCTTTAAATATGATGAAGCAAGGCTGACATTTGATCTTATATACATCAGCATGTTTAATTGCACCATATCCTTGTGCAGCCAGCAAGATTTGGTGACCACTGCAGCATTGAGCTAAAGAAGGGAATACATCAAGTACACCCTTGGAGAATACTTGGATAAATGTTGGGTTTACTCCAAATATGGTTTGATCTTTATTTACATGTAAAATCTTTAAAAAATGAAAGGAGAGAAAACAATACCTTAGCTCCTCTTTAGTGACTTCCCTTCATTGTGAAAGACAAGAGAGAATTAAAGAAAAGCACATAAAAAGATAAGTAGCTTAAAATTAAAAGAATATGGAATAAAATGAAAATATTTAGCAATAAAATAAACTATATGTCTGATTCAGTACATGAATACATGAGTTTGTCCTCTCAATCTGATTAATTTACAGTAGCTAGCTATTTTAATTTAGAGACAGGGGCTTGTCTGTAAGGAGAGTTAGCATTTCAAACAGCAGTAGGTCAAAGCGCACTAGGGAACTTTTAGTACCTGACAGCAGGGTCTGTATGGCCAGTTAGTGCGCGGCAGGCTAGGGTGCTCTAGATTTACACCCCATCGTGCCGTGCATTAACTCTCCACGTAGACAGCCCCAGAGACAGCATATGGCAATACCCAAGCATGCAAGTCTAACAAAAATTTATTTGAAGCCAATTTATTGTTAGCCTCAAGCATTACCTGTATTTCGGCTGAAGAGAATCAGAAAGAACTTGCTGAGCTACTGCAGCATCCCGTTCGGCAAAATATCTGTAGGTGCACATATTAAACTACTTAATGCGATTTGTGAACAAAGTCAGGAAATTCTTAATCCTGGCAAGCTATGCTCATACAATAGTCCCAGTCTTTTCAAATATTGCCAAGGGCAGTTCTGCATAGGTACGATGGTATATAAAATGCTTTAATATATTTTAAAAACTATCAGCGTGTATATATAAAGTATCCAGATCTCTTTACGTACATATTAAGGAGTGCATGTTACATGTCCCACCTCTGTCCCTGATACACACAGGATAAGAGTCTGTTACAGCCCCAGCTACAGAGCCGTGGCACTTGAGCTCAAACTGTAGCAGCTCCTGCTTTTAGCTCTGAAGAACCCCAGTTCAATTCCCAAATTGTCAGCTAAGATTGTGGCCATCACAATATCACAATGCGAAGTAGAATGGGAATAATTTCTCTTGTGATTAAAGCTCAGAATTCAGAACCAGGAGCCGGAATTCTAAGATAAGCTCTGTCACAGACCGACATTGGCTGAGTCACTGAACCTTTCCGATTCCTACTCTGTACCATGAAGTAAACATTTCCCTGACCTCACAGGGATGTTGTGAGGAGTAGTTTATTAAACAATTGTCAAATACTTAGATATCTTTAGATCGAGGGATGGGAGAAGCACAGGATTTTTGTGTTATTTAATACTGACAGAGATGTCAAAAATCAAACGGCCAGATATCTTGTTAGCAAATAATGAAAAAATAAATGGCTATTTAAAATTCACCAAAGCAATCATAGCTATATTTCTTTCAGGATCTAATTATAAGGTTGAATGTGATCTAACTACAGACAACAACTAACAGTGATGGCATTTTATCAGTTCCAACCAATAAGTCAGAACAAAACTCCCAAAAGGAGCAAACATATATAGGCAGACAGACAAGTTTTTTATATTTTTTACAGAGTATATCTTTATACACAAAAAAATACTATAAAGCAAAATAAATGCTATATGCCTAACGGAAATGTGTCTGTTCTCATGTTTGTTTAATGTTTCACAAATGAGTCCAAACACAACATAAGAAACAGAATTACCACAGTAAACCATGTGCATTGTCTAAATTTCGAGATTCGTGGTTTAAGTAAAAATTTTTTTGTTTTTTCTAAGAAATATTTCCATCTCAAGAGAAAATTGTTTTTATTTGGCACAGTTTTCTGAGATTAGTCTTTAGTGTTTCAGGAATTATGCCTATAAACTTAACAATATCAACATTTGTGTTATATTAGTAGAAGTAGCATTACATCTTCAAATTCAAGTATCTGTATATCTACTTACAACAGGTTATATAATCCCAGGAGGCCCATCCCTCTAAAATCTGTTTTAGGATCGTCTCCTTGGAAACCAATTTCACACCACTGCTTCGAAATCCGAGCTTCCAGTGGGCAATCAGGCTTCAAACATTTCCATAACTAGGAATATTACAGAGAAGTTAACGATTAAGTTTTCATGTATATAGTAGGTCTTCATTTTTATGAAATTCTCCATGCAACCTAAGTGCATCACTATGCATAGCATTCAGCAACCAGAGCCTGTGGCCAGGTACCAGCCCCTAAACATTTTTCTTTAATACTGCAAACAGTTCAAATACTACCCTAAGAAACCCCCTTTGACATTATACAAGAGTTGTACAAACCCTCACAAGCACTCATTTCTTTATACTTTATGCATCGAAATAGAAACTGCCTCCATAAGCAGAGTCAGAAATACGTTAGCATTTTGTTGTAAATAACTGACATGCCAGCAGGCAATCAGCCCTCTCAGTTCCATAAGGCTCTGCAGCAATCTTTTCTCATACATCTTTTGCAATACTTTAGAATTATCGGAAAATGAGAGTGCTGACTTGGCTAACACTGCACTGAAAGTATAAAAGAGAAAAACCTAACCAGGAATGGTATAATTCACCTTCATACTTAATTCAGGGACAAGGCCTTCACTGAGCTCACATAAAAATAACAAAAGAAAAAATTACCATGATTTAACAAACTGGTGTAAATCAAACTAGCTTCATTGGTCCATAGTATCTAGTTGTGGGTATGGATAGTCAGAGAGATGGGTCATTTTCATAGGCATTTTAGATGCCTTTGCTCCTACGTATCTTTTTACAGTCACCATTTTAAAGCTGTTTATGAAACTACATCCACAGTGAATACCATGCCTAGATACCACAGCGATGGGCACCCAATAAAATGCTTAATTTGGCAGGATTATTCAAATAAGAGGCACACAATGTACATATTTATATACCATGGCATAAAGCAATACATTTGCTCATTCTGATGTGAATAAGACAACTGTTGTTAATCCAAAATCTACTATCACCATATCACCAGCTCACTCATATACTCTTGACCAATGTCTCAAGGAGCATTCGTATGAAAAAGCATTCTTGAAGTGCAAAAAATCATTAAATACTAGGGGGGGGGAAATGAAATTCCAGAACTCATAATTTATAATATTACAGAAACTTCACATTCTAGAATTCAAAATGCATTTTAATTTTCAAAAAAACTTTATAAAACCATTTGTTCAACTTTTAAGAAATTAAGCTTTATCTTTATTAACATTTCCTGTTTTATCATGGTATGCAACAGCATGAAATATTTTAAGCACATTTCCGAATTCTTGCTTACACAGCCAGAAACTGTATTCAATGCATCAATATTATTCTTCGCTAGTTCAATCACATTGGATAAATCTTTACTTTATCTCACAAAATGTCCTTCTGGTAACATGAATAAATAATAACCATTAAGAACTTGGAGAATTTCCCACTGGAGAGATCATTTAATCAGAATGTCTAGAAACAATGAGGAGGAATCAACATAATCTTCCCTGATGTGAACTGAAAACAAATCGAAGTCCCAGACAGACCGCTATTTGGTATTCACTAACTGTTATGTTGAAAGCATGCTGTAAACTGATGCTTGATAAATGGTATGGGAGGCAAATAGTGGAGAATGGACATCAATGTCCTTATTTTAAAAACAGGAAGAACTTTACTGTTTAAAATAAAATTTGCACAAATGTTTTTCTTATTATCATCAGTTTCTATCTGGCTTTAGTTCTAATTTAGGAGAAAATTTTTTTAAAAGCACCTATATGATTTAGGAGCCTACTTCCCAAAGAGATTCAGGCACTTGGGGGTGGCCAGGTTTTTAAAATTATTTAGGGAATTAAAGATGCAGGTAAGTGCTTACTGGGATTTTCTAAAGCACTTAGGCACTTACCTCCCATGGATTTCAATGACTCCCAAGTGACTCCTTGAAATGACTCACACTAGGCTATCATTCTGCAAAGTTACAAATGATGCTGCAGATGATGGTGCTATTCAGATATACCAATTTATAACTTTTAATAAAACAATCAAATGTTTGTTTTTCAAAGACTGTTCAAGTTTATTCATGATGAGAAGAGCTCTATTTCAGGAATTTGCTGGGTGAGATAAGTGTGTTAGGAGGAAATTTTTCCTTGGGGGCAGGTTATCCCCTCACCACTTATTGCAGAGCTTCTTGTACCTTCTCTGAAGCATCTGGTCCTGGCCATTGTCGGAGACAGGATACTGGACTACATGAAACATTGGGCTGAATCATTATGGCAATAGATACTTTCCCCATTACTCTACCCCTTCTTCAGCTCTGACTGCTACCAGGAAGGGGTCTCCGCTGCCCTATCCCATCCCATAGCTTCTGTTTTTGAGCCCTGTTCTTTAGTGAATAAGGCGAGTGCCTGCTTCTGATATGTCCCCAAAGAGCTGCACAGTGATTCTGATCTGATTCCTATCAGTTTCACTGCTGCCAACAATGATTCTGAAGAGCAGCACTGAAAACTCACTAGTCAGTTTTGACTCTATGTAACCTGGAAACCAGAGCTGACTGACTGCAATATTACTTTAATTGTATATTATTATATACGAGCTTTTATATATTTTCAACCCCCACCTCCACCCCCACACACCTGATTTTGAAATAATCGTAGCTGGAGGTCTGCTTCTGGTGTAAGAAGTCAACACATTCAAAAACAAGAGAATTTACTTTGCCTAATGCTGGAGAAAATAAACTTGGTTCTTTTCTTGAAGGAAATATTCAGACAGTCCTTCACTACAAAAATGACAGCTCAGTTCTATTGCCAAAGGCAGCAAGAGCGTGGGATTGTCAGTCAGGTAAGTGATAGACATCTGTGGGCTCATCCAAATGGCAGAACACATTTCTAGGCTGTGTGTTGGTGACAAAAGTGGGAATTTTTGGCATGATTTTTGTGAACATGTGTCTCCCCCATCAGACTTTGCATTCTTACCCACTGGGAGTAGAGGGGTTAAAATGCTTCTCCTAGAACAGAGGTGTGACCTAGTGCCAGGCCATGCCAAGGTCCCCAGGCCTCCATTGAATACTGATAAATACACAGCTGAAATCAGTCTGGCTCACTGTGTGTTAGTACTGTTAAAATAGGTGTGAGAATTACAAGTATGTGTTTAGACTTTACTGAATGCTTGTGAGTTGCTGCATGCATTAATCTCACTTATAACGTCTGTATCCCACATTGTAAAGTAATATTTAAGCATTTGCACTGTAAGCCTCTTTAACTGTGTAGCTCACCAGACAGGAGAGACACATTAACTACAGTAGAACCTCAGAGTTAAGAATACCAGAGTTATGAACTGACTGGTGAACTACACACCTCATTTGGAAGCAGAAGTACGCAATAAAAAGCAAATACTGTACAGCACAGTACTGTGTTAAACTACCAAAAAAAAATAAAAGGGAAAGTTTAAAATTTTTTTACCACCATGTAAGGTAACTGTTTGTGCTTGTTTCATTTAAATTAAGATGGTTAAAAGCAGCATTTTTCTTCTGCATAGAAAAGTTTCAAAGCTATATTAAGTCAGTGTTCAGTTGTGGACTTTTGAAAGAACCACCATCATGTTTTGTTCAGAATTATGAACATTTCAGAGTTACAAACAACCTCCATCTCTGAAGTGTTCATAACTCTGAGGTTCTATTGTAGTATGAAATGCTGGTCTCCAACAGAAGGTGTTATGTCCTGCCCAAGGAGGAAGGTCCATTGACACCAGAAGGGTTACAATGGAACATTAAAGAGGACAAAAGACTTTGTTGTTTACTCCCCCTCCCCCATGAAGATGGGTTTTGCAAGTGGATTCCTCCCATCAACTGAGTTTGCCACTCAGAGCAGAAGGGGAAGGGGGTGGGGAAAGGAATAAAAACCTCTAACAAGGAGGAACTGTATGTTTATGCTGCTCGGACTCGGGGGAGCAAGGATTACTAGGCATAAGCAAAAGATCCCTAGTGCTTACCCTGGATTAGCCCTAAAGCACATAGAGGACTTGCTTATTATAGAAGTTTCTATTACTTTTTTGAAACTTACGATTGGAACTCATTTATCTATGTATGTTTATCAGCTTTAACCTTGTAAGTAACTCTTATTTCCTTTTCTTTTTATTAAATCTGTACATAGTTTATTATAGGACTGGCTACAAGTGTTGTCTTTGGTGTGAGATCTAAGGTGCATTTGACCTGGTGAAAGGTCCTTTGGGACCGGAAGTAGCCTGAATGTTGCTGTGATTCATGATGTAAGGTACCATCTCTGTCACAAAGGAAAGCTTACCTGGGTGGCAAGACAGGTTGGAATACCCAGGATGACAGTCTGTGACTCCATGTTAAGGCTGTTATAGTGCCTCAGGAGTTTATACTTGATGATTTGTTGGTGAAATCTAATTACAGAACCCACAATCAGTTTGGGGTTTGTGACCTGGTTGGTAACAGTCTGCCCTGAGGTTGGCACTCACACTCCTGAGTCACAGCATGACAGCCTGACAAGAGGAAAGGCATAAGGTGCTTGGATCATGTAGATGTCTGAGATGGTATGAATTCACCATCAAGAGCTGGCTGGAATCAACATATTTGAATGGAAGTTTCTACAGTAAACCGCCATGACCGAAGATTAATTCATAGGGCAAATTACTTCCTTTCCTCCACCTTTCTGAAGGGAAGCAAAGCTCAAATCCCTAGCCAGAGAACAATGGAGTGAAGGTGTCAGGGGCTTGTGACAAGTACAGGGTTCTCAGACATACAGGTCTGTCGCATCTTACGTGCATTTAACTTGCGCGAATTCAGCTTTACGCGGTCGGCAAAAACAAAACAAACAAACAAAAAGAGAAAAGTAACAATTTAAATACTGTTCCTGTAGTGCGGGCGATTCCGCCCACCATTACACTCAATGTAATTTTGACTATACGCGGTTTTTGCTTTACGTGCTGACCACGGAACGTAACCCCAGCGTAAGAGGAGACAGACCTGTACACGCGCTTTCACTTAGGACTGAGAGACAAAGGGACAGTGTGAGAGTGCTAAGATGGATTCCAGAACAAGCTGGCCTAATGAAGCCCTGGCTTTAGCCAATATGAATTCTGTCTTAACCTTTGGTTCTCTGTGCTAACCTAAGGACTTCCCAACACTGTATTCCAGTTGACTATTAAAACCTACCCTGCTTTGGAAAAGATTTCCTGTTGTTGCTGGTTCTACTTACTGATGTGCACTGATCCCCAAAGAGAGTGGAAAGTCTCTGAACAGGAGTCTACCTCTACTGGATTCAGTTATCAGCTCATGTCAAGAAACAGGGATTGTTGGATCCTGAAGGCCAGTCTCGGAGACGTTGAGGCCATGTGGCCAACCCTTCTGCAAAAGCGTGAGCCCCTGAAGGTCTGACTGTTTAAAGGCTGGGGCATAGCACAGAGACTGTAAATCTATGATATGTTCATAAATAAGTGCAGGGTAGCTGCATGCCTAGCAACTTACAACCTGTGTTGATGAATATTGCTGAAATATGCCATTTTAAGAGAGCATGGAGGAAGTTAAGTACCACCTGTGGAAACTGCATATGACGCTTTTACAAATAGGGCATGTGGAATCACCAGGAATCAAGTGTTCTATGTCAAAGTGATTTCAGCACTCACCTTTAGAAGCATCTCTTCATGTTGGGGATTCTCTGAATCATATGACTCTCTGCGCAGCTTTTCAACCTCTGCAATCAGATTTCTGTACCCTACAATCTGTAGGAGACAGGCCTGAAGAGATACTCCTAACCTAAGCAAAAAGAAGTCAAACAATGAGGTAGGGTACTATACTGTACACAGCCACTTAATTTATATGCAAAAAGAAGAACAGGAGTACTTGTGGCACCTTAGAGACTAACAAATCTATTAGAGCATAAGCTTTCGTGGACTACAGCATATGCATCCGAAGAAGTGGGCTGTAGTCCACGAAAGCTTATGCTCTAATAAATTTGTTAGTCTCTAAGGTGCCACAAGTACTCCTGTTCTTCTTTTTGCGGATACAGACTAACACGGCTGCTACTCTGAAACAGATTATTATTATTCATTTGTATTGCTGTAGTACCTAGGAGCTCCAGTCATGGACCAGGGTCCCATTGTGCAAGGTGCTATATGAACACACAAAGGTACCGGCCACAAGCCATGTCTGTCCTGTTTTAGGGACAGTTATTAACTACCAGCGCTAGGGGGTTAGAGCGCACTGCCTATAAACCACAGCAAGGCCATTTTGGCTTAGTTTTAAGATTGAATTAATTATTCTAACTAGAAACAGGTTCACGGTTGCAAAGCATTCCCAGCGTTGGGCTCTGGAGTTTGGGTTCGGGCCCATCTGTAATTGAAGACATTCCCCCTGTGTCTCTTTCCATATGTCTACACTACATTTGGGAGTGAACCCCACCCAGCCTGGGTTCACGAATGGCTCATGCTAGCGTGTCGACATTGCAACTCAGGCTAAAGCTCGAACTCTCAAGTCCCATCCCTCCCCACCCCGGCTTGAGAACCTGAGCTCCAGACCAAGTCACAACACCTGCACAGCTCTTTTTAGCACGCTAGCGCAAGTCCCACTAGCACTGGTCTTTAAACCCGGGCTGGGAGGTTCACTCCAAGCTGCACTGTAGACATACCCTAAGGGGTTTGATCCTACAAAGTGCCAAGAGCCTCACGAAACACCGTAGGTACTCAGCACCTCGCAGGACAGAGCTCCTTGTGGGATTGGAACCTAAACCAGCTAGACCAGGGGTGGGCAAACTTTTTGGCCCGAGGGCCACATCGGGGTTGCAAAACTGTATGGAGGGCTGGGTAGGGAAGACTGTGCCTCCCCAAACAGCCTGGTCCCTGCCTCCTATCTGCCCCCCCCCACTTCCCACCCCCTGACTGCGCCCCTCAGAACCCCCAACCCATCCAACCCCCCTGCTCCGTGTCCACTGACTGACCCCTTCCGGGACCCCTGCCCCCTATCCGCTATCCAACCCTCCTGCTCCGTGTTCACTGACTGCCCCCTTCCGGGACCCCCCGCCACCTAACCACCACCCCCGAGACTCCA